CCTTCATAATCAAGTTCATACAATGAGCTGCACAAGGAGACCATACAATAGACAGATATTTCTCACATAACAATCTTCCTGCAGCCTTATAGTTTACAACATTATCAGTGACTAAATGAACTACATCCTGCCGACCAACAATCTCAACAATCTCACTAAATAAGTTGCATAAAGTTTGGGCATTACTCTTTATATTCGATGCATCAACTGATTTTATGAAAGAAATCATTTTTGCATAATACACCATAAAATTGATAAGAGGTCGTTGTCTTGTATCACGCCACCCATCTCCCATAATTGTACAACCATTTTCTGCCCAATAACGTTTATAAGAATCAACTATAAGTTGTACAGATTGTTTCGCGTCTTTCAACAACATCACACGCATAGCATGATATGAAGGCCTTGTGTATCCATGACCCATACTAGCGACTTTACTCATTGCTATTTGAAAAATGGGAGAATTCACGGCATTCATATGTATGCAAGAATCATAAAACCACATAGCAAGAGCTAAATCTGTTTCATGCCATCTTTCCTTACCTTGCAATGTTGATTTAATTGACGGTTGAGATGGATCATGCATACCCCGTTTGAAAAAAGGTGGCACAGTTTGTGTTTGGGAGGTAGGAGCTTTTCTTTTTCCATCTTTTTTTTTGAGTTGTTTGTTGGGTGAGTACTTGAACCTCATCATCATAATCATCAACATCATACAAGTTATTCATCCCCGAAGTATCACCGAGCACACCAACATGTTTCTCTTTTGCTTTTTTGGTATTTTCATCCAATGAACTTTTCATGAGAAACTTTATATCTCCAGGACAACTCGGATATGTTGCAATACTACCGGACACTCCAGCAAGGTGTTGTTTCATTATATTGATACCTCCACCATTGTATGTTTTTTTACAAAAGGTACAAAAATATGACTTTTTTCCAGCTCCATCTCGTATTTCAGTAATATGCCTCCAAGTTGGATCCTTTTTTATCGAAGTTTTGGTTGAGTAGAAGCTTCTGAACCAGATGGTACAATATTCGATTGTGCTTCAGATGGATTAGAACTTGGATTGGAACTTGAACCCAGAGTACTCATAATCTAAAACACAAATATAAACAACCAATGTTATAGTTGAGCACATGCTAATAAAAAATCTAATCTAAAATCTGATAAGTGCACAATCTAAAAAATCCTAAATGGAATGCTAGAGTGATACTAACAGTAAGAAACAATGCAATGGCATTGTAATACTAACAATCTAACATTAAGAGCCAGACAATCAAAACTCTGATCTATAGTTTGATAAGTATACAGTCTGATAAGTGATAAGTATACAACAGTGAATAACAGTGTAATACTAACAATCTACAATCAAAAATCAGTTAATGTAATACTAACAATCAACTGTCTGATAAGTATACAACAACGAATAACAATCTAACATTAATAAACAAACAATGCAATAGCAATGTAATACTAACAATCTAAAAAATCCCAACATAAATTACATGTAATGTATAAGAATGTCTCGTGTTGCTGTAGAATTTCCACATTCAGATGCTAAGTTGCATAAAGGGTAAGAAAGTAAGAAACAGTGAATACAATCCTAGAAAAAAAGAACGGAATCTACTAACCAAGAAATTCAAGCTTCTAATTTGTCTACTTACTAGTGGTGTAGCAGAAATCGATGTAGCAGTTAAGCAGAAATCGAAGAACGAAGGTGAAGCAGTTAAGCGAAATTCGGAATGGAATGTGAAAATCGGCTGATCGGCGATTGTTTTTTATGGAATGCGAAAATCGGCTGATCGGAGAACGAACGAAGGTGAAGCATTCAACGAAGGTGAAGTTGGAGTGGCCGAGTGGTCGATCGACTTCGAGGTTAGAGTTTGGGTGGTCGATCGCAGGTAGAAGGTGCGTTTGTTTGTTTTTGCGATTTGGGATTTGATTTCGCATCTGGGAATGGTTTGATTGGTTTCTATTTGTCCGATATTGGTTTAAAGAAAGAAAAAAAAAGTAAAAACTAGTTCCGAATCCGGTTCAACCAACCCGGTTCGACCGCGGTTCACTAAAAATCGTCGGTTTCTTATGGTTTGGCTCACTGCCGGTTTTCAGAGGCTAAAGAACTGGAACCAGCACCGGTTCCCGGTTGAACCGGCCGGTCCGGTCCGATTTTCAATACAGTGATACATACTACTATTAGTATAATTATTAGGAATCATATCAAACTATTTCTAAAGCATTATTTACATATTGACTTTACAATTACATTACATAATAATAACATACTATTATTCACACACTTATGATATATGATATATTTCACCACGCTACATTATTAATTTTTTAACAGATAGTGGTGACATAGTATGTTGTGATGGTGATTGGTTTTATCTTTTCCCCTCGGATGATAGTGGTTGATAGTTGACGTCATTGTTCCATTATTGGTGAGTCTTGTAGATTTTATTTACAATATTAGCAAAGATGTCGTGGTGCATCAAGGATTATCTGACATAGTTGTTTTTTATATCTCTTGGTAATTCAACAAGGTGTTTGGTAAATTCTTCAAATGTACTGACTGCTTGTAATCTTGTTTGATTAATTAGTCTTGTGTTATCTTGAGAGTAGAGTAGCATAATATCACTACAGTAGTTGATTCGAGCTTCTGCTTTTTTTTTATTAGTGCCTATTTTGGAACTAGCAAGACAGACACATGTTAATATTGAGATGAGATGATCAGCTGTAACACTCGTATTTTTAGGTATAAGTCTTTAAATATTAAATTATTAATTTTCGCATGTTGATGTCCTATGGTAAGCATAAGATAATCCCCTACCCTAAGCGTAAGTGGGATATCTTATGCGGAGGTTTAATGGCATACATTGAGCATAGGTCAAGCTACACCGAGCGTAGGCATGCTACGCCAAAACCCTAATCCTTGGGGTTGTAAGCCCTATTTTGTGACAAGTAGGAAATTTTGATTAAGCAAGGTTTAACATGTAGCTAAGTATAAGTGCAACCACAATGAAACCTTGTTGTAACAAAAACTTTGAAAGCCAAAAGGGCATCGTTTGTATAAGTCATGTTGATAGTAAACATTTAAAGGGTAAGTGAAGCCAAATGATTGAAACATAAATCATGGTATCAAAACATTGTTTTTTTGGCCTAGGTACCCTACCCCTTGAGATTTCGGTTCGCTTAGGACCACTCAAGGCTGAAATCTCACACCTAGAACACCCTAGGCCGAAAACACCACCTTAGTACCCCACTAAGGCTGAAAACACAAGCTATGAAGGATTCAAAACCGAAATCACAATCTAAAAAGAGGCTAGAACCGAAATCACAAGCCTAGGACACACCCAGGCCGACATCAAACAAGCCTAGGGCGAACTCACTTGGGATTTCGGCCATATTAAGGGAATTTCAAAGGGATTTCGGTTTAAGAGAAGTAAAAGGATATGGTTAGTTGACTTTTGTGATTAGATACTTCATCAGTTTCTCATGCAGTTTATTAACCAACAAATATCTATACTTTAACCAACAAGTAACTAGGCAAACATCCTATCACACTTCCCTCATGTTATATATATATATATATATATATATATATATATATATATATATATATATATATATACACACACACACACACACACACGAGATCCTCATCCACAAATTCCCCACCATTTTTCATTCCTTCGTTCTACTATAAACTCTCTCAAGATTAAGCACAAAGCATCCAAGGATTTATTTCCCAAAGCTTGTTCTTATTAATTTTGTAAGATTTTCTTATTAATCTAGTGTATTCATACATTTTATGATAAGTTTCATCCTATTTACACACAATATTATGTGTTAAACCCTTAGGATAATATCACCTTCAAGGAAGTTCATCAACTCCATTCAAGAGTTTAAGCTTGAAATCTTCACACCATTTACTCAAACAACCTACATATCCACTCAATGTGAGTTCATACCCCCACATTTTCAAGCTTTTTCATGTTTTTAGGATTGGGGGGGGGGGGGGGAATACAATTAAAATTTTGCTTATCCTACAAATATTTACATGTTTTCAAATGTATGTTAAAGATAAAATATTATTTGCATAATATATGGTTAATACTAGTTTTGTAAAATTATTTGTGATATATACTAGTTTGAAATGCAAATCTAACAAAACAAACATAATCTATGTTATAAAATCATAAGAAAATTTATGATTTGTAAAACTACATTTTTTTTAAGCTTTTTACTAAAATATAACTTTTATAACCAAGGGGGTACATTCTAGTTAGTTCATTATTTTGTGGGTTACAATCCAAAATATAATGTTTTGACCTTACATTTTGAAACTAAACAAGATATTTTCTACATGTTTATATAAATGGTTATATAAATGTTCTTAACAAACAAACATGATAAACTATAACTGGTATAGTTTGGGAGTCACAAAACTACACTTTCATTTCAGAACAAACATATAATTATTTAATGGTATAATTATTTCATTTACAAGAAAACGATTTTTAAGTACAATAGACGTAAGCTATTTGATAAAGATTTGTGAGATCTTTAGTTTCACCGTACCCACCAAAGTACACACCTAAGTCCTGAATTATAACCAGAGTGTCCTGTAAGGAGAGCGTGACACTTGTGTGTAGATCTATTATAACACTTAATTTATTAAATAATTAAATAAATGAAATTTATGAACGAATGGTAGGCCTAAAATAAATAATTACATATCAAGGATCGTCTCGAAGGACTGATTATTACAATTTTAGAAGTCGGGGATTAAAAGTGTCAGTTCCGAATTAGTCTTGTAAGTATTTATGATTCAAACCTTCTTTGTGTGATTGTTTTCCTCTTACGCCATTTCTACTGCTTTATACTTAAGATTTTGTAAGGCAAGAGGCTTTTACAAATGCTTAGAAATGCTTTCGAGGGTTCAGGTGGCAATGGCTCTTTACATGCATATGCAGAAGCATTTTGCATAATCATGTAAATGGGTGTTGGAGACAAATCATTCATTGTCAGGAAAGCTGCTGCAAGATGTTTAAATGCTTTTGCTAGTATTGGAGGCCTAGGCCTAGGAGCTGGAGAGCTTGACAATTCCGCCTCTTACTGTGTTAAGGTACCACTTTCTTAGTCACTACGTGTATCTTGTTGCATGAGGTTAGTTAGACTTGAAGAAGTCGACTATTTCCAAGGAGATGACTCCAGATAGAAGGGTGTGGAGTAGTTTAGGAGTAGTCTAGGCCCTGGGTTTCATTTTCTCTCTTTGTGCTTTTTATACAATATTTACCTTCTTACTCTTATTCCTTGTTTGCTTATATAGCTTATATTGCTAGTGTCTACCTTATGCTTTATCCCCTCTACCCATTGTGGGCATGCATTTTCATATACCCAGAGGTTATCTTTGAAAACAGTCTTTCCACCCTTACCTCATTCATATGGGATTTGGGTTTTGTTGTTGTTGTTGTTGTCTATTTGTATATAGTATCAAAATCCCATATATGATATTCTACATCTTATAAGGCTCTTGAAAATCGTGTATCATCGATTCGGGATGCCTTTGCAACAGCTTTGGGAGTTGTGCTTGCTCTTGTAATGAACACTCAAGCGTAGGTATACCATCTTCTTTTCAAATTTATGTCTCTGTGTGTACTTTTACATTTTTTTCTTTCTTTTTGTTTTTGTAAAGTTCATCTTGCATTTTATCATTCTTCTAGGTGCAACCAAAAAAAGGCCAGGCTAATGCAAAAAATTATAACGGGAGTTTGCAAAAGCATCTTATATTGCCCTTCACCAGAGGTGTCTTTTTGTTGAAATTTGAACTCCATTGCATCGGTTTTTTTGTTATATATAATATTTTGATAGATGTAGTATTTTTTGCAGCAAGTGGACCTCGTTCAAAGGATTTGCGAATAGGTATAACCTTGTCATGGGTGTTCTTCTTACAGGTAAAATTTTGTCTCTGTTGCTAGTTTTTAGGATATTTTCTGCAATATTTATCCTTTATTCCTTACATTTTGAATCACATGCTCTTTTTTTTTTTTAAGTTTTTCAGGGAATACGGCTTAAGTATATGCATCCAGATAGCGAGCTCCAACATTATCTTGTGCAGATTATGGATATGCTTCGTGCATAATATGTTGTAGATGCATAATCATTGGTATTTGCTTATCAGTTTGTGGATTTACCTTTGTTTCTTAATGTATGATATTTGTTTTTAAAGAATCAATCAATTTACTAATGTATTATTTTTGTTTTTAAAGGCATGTGTTTTCTATATTCTACGGGTTGGTGTGATTGATCAAATGACTGAACCTGTACAAAGGGTTTTCTTAGTTAATCTAGGAAAGCAGGTTTGCTAGAAATTCTTGCTTCTCCTATCTCATCTCACTCAAGTTATGATCTTTCTTGATTCCATTAGTTCCAATGACTTGGCATGATTTCTCTGTTACAACTTCATTCCCCTGATGCAAGTCCATCAATGAATATTACTGCTTTACGCACTTTGTCACATACCCTAAAAACTTTTGGAGAGGTAAGGTGTATCCTTAGATTGTTTTTAATAATTTACTATGACATCACTTTCAATTTCTCTCTTCATTTTCAGGTTCCTGTTGAATTCTAGGAGGTTCTTGATGACACAGCAGTAGCAGCATTGTCTAACTCCTCGCCTCTTGTAAGATATTATGATGTTTTTGTTATCTTTTTTTTAGTTGCATATGAGACGCTTTGGGCCTTATGCTTGTTTTGGAAGGGAATGATATTGATGAAAATGAAAATGGAAGGAAATTACAGTGATGTTATTTAGCAAAGGGTAAATTGCTGGAAATACAAATAGCAACATATTACACCCCTTTTACCAATATAGGCAATGTACTTTATTAATTATCCGGAATAGCAATATACTTACGATTTATTACCCATAATAGCAACGTACCTACATTTTATGCCAATAATAGCAATATGTAATTCACAATATGCCTTTTAGCATATGCAAAATGCTAATCTAAGTTGTCTTTGGCACAATAGTCAATATCTTAATGAATACTTTTCAATTATGTCTATGTTTTGCTTTTCTTTACTTTGGTATTTCTTGATCTAAGCACTAGTGACAACTTATTTGTTTTGGCAAAAAAACTGGCAATTTCACATTCTATGTTTATTATTTGTTAATCCACTTGCCAAACACTTCAAAATTCAAATCCGACATGATTGGTAGGTACGTTGTGAGTCAACTTTGACTTTGCGTGCACTGGCGGAGATTGATCCGACATGTGTTGGTGGTTTGGTCAGTTATGGGATCACTACACTGAAGGCACGAAGAGAAAATGTGTCATTTGGGAAGGTATTACATCAAAGACATAGTTTTCTTTTAAAGGAAATTTGGAATTCAGTTACTTCACTTGTTTATATATATTGTTTTCTGAAAATGGTATACAGGGAAACAACCTGTAGGTTGAGCTTGATTCCTTAAGTGGACAAGCTACAGTTTTGGTTGCACTTGCATCTGTCTCCCCAAAGCTGCCTCTTGGTTAACCAAATAAGGTATAACTGTTATTATTCTTCAGTGGCATTGTTGTAATTCTTGATTTTGAAAACTGAAAACTATTGCATGAGTTGTACAGGAGATGGAAGACCAGGTGTTTGATATTCTTTCATTATGGGCTTATATCTTTAGTGGTCGAGGCTAAGAGAATCAAGCAGATTCATCTGAGAATCTATCTTCTAAAATAAGCCCATAATGAAAGAATATCAAACTACTGCATGAGTTGTACAGGAGATGGAAGACCAGGTGTTTGATATTCTTTCATTATGGGCTTATATCTTTAGTGGTCGAGGCTAAGAGCATCAAGCAGATTCATCTGAGAATCTATCTTCTAAAATAAGGTTAGCCCACTTTTCATCAATTATGCCCCTTTTGTTGGTGAAATTACCCATCTGCCCTTTTGGATAAGCTTGGAACACGCGTCCACCGCTTGCCTCAGTCATATCATTCTCAACCATGAAATTTATTTTCACATTAATTTCTTATTGTATATTGGCTGTAAATTAGTTGTAAAGTTAATGCGTATCTTTTCTTGTTATGTATTTTCCTAGTTTAGTGAGGTAGGTTCTAGTATAAATTAAGGTTCTCCCTTGTATCATTCATCCCAAGAAACACATTCACCATTTTCTTCTCTCCCTAATAGTGGATATGTTTTAACAAATTTTCCATTAGGTGAGACAGGGTTCCTACCTAGATCCACCATTCCTTTTCCTCCCCCCCCCCTTGATCTCTCCCATCCATATTTTTTTCTTTCATTCTTATAATTTTCCTCAAAAAAAAAAAAAAAAAAACAGTGATATGGTTTTGATAATGGAAGCATAAAGGATTTCTATTGTTGGTAAATGATATTCATTGCCTTTAATACTATCCATATTTGCACTTGCTTCCATTTGATTCCATAAATCCCTAATAGGCACTAGATTCCCACATCCATCATCACCTATATCACCTAAGATCTGCTATGTTGTTTTTCTCTCGAGGCTTTTTCATTTTCATTTTCATTTTCTTTTACTGTTTTTATTCTTAGTTGGTGATCTATGAATCACGAAATCTTGCAGACTTTTTCATTTCTAGCCACATAGGGTGGACTCCGGCAGCACAACTGAAAACCCTAAAATCATCTAAGAGGGGTAATATTGTCATTTTTTTACTTTATTTCACTAAAGTTTTTAATTATACATTCTATCCATTGCACGCGTACTTTTGTTTCAAATTAGGACAGTCTAAATGGGCATAGCTTTTTCAACCAGTTACCCTTTAATACATCCACTTGGTGTCTATGTAGCATACCGTCCACGTGGACTTTTTATTTAAATTTAATTTTATCAAAAATTAAAATTATTTTTGTTTATTAAACTTAAAACTTTGGATTTTATTGACAAATACCCTTTGATTTCTCGAATATCTCTACATAATTCTTGACCGAATATCTTTGAGTTCACCTGTTTTTCTTCATAAATAATTGATTTTGAATACGATTGTTAAATCCTGAAAGTACCGTCTCTTTTATCAAAGAAAAATACATTAACGATGGCAGACTGCAAAAGGACCGATGGGGCAAGGTGGCAGTCCCTCCGACCTGTGCTGGAGGGGAACGCCCAGTGTGAAACTCACTTTCTTTGAACCCATTTGCCAAAGAATGAGCATGTCCCTGTTGTTTCCCTTAGAAATTGCTTTCCAAGCTAGAAGAAGAATTTGCTCTTCATTTTAGAGGTCTGATGTACCCCTAAGAAGGGGTAGAAAAAGAAAGGAACCATTGAAGGATGCCTATGAAGTTGGCATATTCTGGTTTACCCGTAAAAGGGGTAGACCAATAATGAAAGAGGAATGGGATATCAATCTTAGGGTTTCACCCATAGAATAGCTAAGATTGAAAATTGAAATCACCATCACATTCAAATGTTCAATGGGTGAAACCTTAAGATCGCTGTCCCATTCCTCTTTCATTATTGTTCTACCCTTTTTACAGGTAAACAAGAATATGCCAACTTCATAGGCATCCGTCAATGGTTCCTTCCTTTTCCTAACCCTTCTTAGGGGTACATCAAACCTCTAAAAAGGAGAGCAGTTTCTTCTTCTAGATTGGGAAGAAATTTCTTAAGGGTACATCGGGCACATGCTCATTCATTGAATGATGGGTTTAAAGGAAGTGGGTTTCACACTGGGCCTACCCCTCCATCACAGGTCGGAGGGACTGCCACCTTTCCCCATCGGTTCCTCTACTGTCTGCCATTTTTAATCCTTATTTCTTTGATAAAAAAGAGACAAATATTTCTGGATTTTACAAGTAGATACAAAATCAAAGCTTTGTGAAGAAGAAGATGAGAAATCAAAGGCTTTATCAAGAATTCTGTGAGTATTGGGGAAAACAGGAGAACTTAATTCTGTTTGTCAATAAAGTTATAAGTTCTAAAGTTTAGTATACTAAAATGATATTATGTTTTCATATCATTACAATTGAATAAAGTTCAATGTGGATGCCACGTAGACACCAGGATGCCGTATCAGAGGGTAACTGGTTGAAAATGTTATGCCCTGTTGACATTCTTAATTTGAAACAAAATTCGGTTGTTTAATGGGCTAGAATGTATAAAACTTTAGTGATTTAAAGTAAAGAGAAATACATAGTTTGTTACCTTTCCTTAGCATTAGTATTACCCCTTAAATTTATTGTCATGAGTTGCTAAAAGATATCGTTTTCATCTTTTTGCTAGGAACTGAGGTAAGTCATGTTTTGTTACTTGTACTGATTTCCTTATAATATTTACCATTGTATGTTGAAGTCATACGACTTTTTTGTTATTGTTATCTAAACCTTGCACTTATGAATCGATAGGATTGGAGTAGATTGTCGGAATAAAGGTCTCAGTTGTGGCCGACAATGGTGACAACTAGAATGGTTGCGGAGAGGGATGACGGTTAGTATTAGGGTTTTTAGATGCGAAAAATGTTTGGAGAGATTTATGGTTTGAAAAATGTTTTGAGAGATTTATGGTTTGAAATGAATGTCTAATTTACACATCTCATTTTTTCAAAAGTTTATTTTTCATTGGTCAATTTCATTTTCACATGGATTACCAAATGTTAAATCTAGCCATTCAAATTTGATCTAATGGATAGAATGTAATATAGGTTTTTTTTTTTTTTTTTAACTGGATCCAAAAATTTTATTTTATATTTTTTTTTCCACAAATCTACTTATTTATATTTATATTTTGGCGTAAAATTTATGTTTTGTAGATTTGGCCTCTCATACTTCAAAGAACATATAATAATTTGTATATCGTAAATTTTTGCTTAGTATCTTTAATGCTCGTAATTGAATGAAATTATAGTAAATTTGGTATATTTATAAATAAGAATAACAATATAATATTTAATTTTGTATCAATAATCAATTAAAGAAAAATAAAAATTAAATCCTAAAACAATTATGATATTAGTTGTGAAACCAAAGGACATCGGTTCGTTTTGTATTAAAAATACAAATCATAATTATCAACAATTAGTTGGTATTAAACACAATTATCAAAACCATAAAACTGGGTGCTAGACATGGTACAAGGATCTATGCGTGGAATCTCAACCAAATTAATAAATATATTTCATATACACAAAACATATGTTAAAAATATATAATTAAATTGAAATATATCAATTTCTGTTGATAAATAACTATATACCTGACAATAAGCCAACTACAAAATCGTTCTAAATAAACAAAACTATGTTTTTACTTTTTTATTTTATTTTATGTAAATTTTTTTTTTTAATTACTAAAATATCGCCATGTTTTTATAATACAATCATATAGTAATAAACACACACAAATTAGTTCTATATAACCCCAATCATATTTGTTACTAATATCCATTCACACGATTTTAGTATTTTATATTATATATGTTTATACATTTGTTATAACTTACAAATTTAAATAGTTGATATAATATATATATATATATATATATATATATATATATATATATATATATATATATATATATATATATATATATATATATATAAAAGCAAATTTTATCTTTTATGCGATTAACATGTAATTTATGTTTATTTTGAAAGGCATACAAGAAACAAGTAGTTTTTTTTCTAATGTATCTATGACAACAAACGTAAAACCATGTTGTATTTTTTATGAAGTCTGATATTACCAAAATCTACATACAAAATAAAGGATCCTAAAAATCGTGCTTCAAGTTATAACAATACAAAAATTAATAATAACAATAAAAGAAATCATCTAAAAATATCAAATTTATTAAAAATACAAAATATTTAAAATACAAACATATCGCTATTTTGCTAAAGTAATGTATACATACAACTTTAAAACAGTAAAACAATAAACAAAATATTTTTTTTATCAAAATCTAAAACAATAAACAAAATATTTTTTTTATCAAAATCTAAAAAATCCAACACTTCTTACTGATGCTCTCTCTTTACTTTTGTTTTTCATAGATCTAAAATAGATAAAGGTGAATACAAAAATATGTTAACTTTACATCTAAATCCATATCAAAGAGCTTGAATTCTTGATCTTTTTGTTGTCGGATACTGTAACAAAACACAAAAAAAGAAGAAAATTAGCAAAAACTTCTTGTACTTCCCGACCAAAAATAAAGCATTTGGTCATCCCATGTCAAACAATTATATTCATATTTACAATCTCTTTATCTTAATATTTAAAGTGCATATTACATACACCAACATCAAAATATTTAGAACATGTAGCAAAACTTTATAATAATTGTCGATGGGGTTTTCTTATCTAAAGAAATATCCATACAAATCTAGGTTTTAAGAAAACATGAGAAAATCGAAAATATAAGAAAAGAAAATTAGGTTAAGAACATATTATAAAACAATCAACAGAGGAAGCGTTATGTACGATGTTGGTGGTGCAATGGCGGTGATCGGTATGGATCTAATTGTTGTGTGATTGTTACGTAAAGTTGTACGGATGAAGTCGCCAATGAGATAGAATCGGTAGTGTTGGAGTAGATCGTCGGAATGAAGGTTTCGGTTGTGGCTGACAATGACAGCAACTAGAATGGTTGTGGAGAGAGATGACGGTTGGTATTATGGTTTTTAGATACATAAAATGTTTGGAGAGATTTATGGTTTTAAAAAAATGTATGGAGAGATTTATAATTTGAAAGCAGTG